GGCTTGGGCAGCCGGCCCCGGCTGTCGCGGGCACGTGGCTCTCTCTGGGCGCTAGCTGTCTCGTGCCTGTTTGGGGTGGGAGCCACTAGTGTTTGGGGTGGGAGACTCTAGTGTTTGACAAGCAGGCTACAGCCTGAGTTAGCAGACAGGTGGCTTTTGGCTCATGCAGCAGAGGCTCAGCTATTAAGCTGCCGAGGTCCCCGGTTCCATCCCGCCTGCTGACGAGCAGGGTCTGTGGACAGGACACGAGCAAGGTACGTCTGGCCAGTTGGGCGATCGCGCCGCCCGGCTACCCCTTCGAATCTCTCCTACAAACTCACTCCTCAGCCGCAGCTCCCCAGGCCAGCGAGAACGTGGAGCCCCGTGACGTAGAAGACAGCGTGGGACCGAGGCTACTGGCGCCCACGCTCCGCACCACCCACCTGTGGCAGGGAAGGACCCCCGGGGCTTGCACCCGTCGCACCCACGCGCACGTTACCTAGTTCGGTTTCGCAGCGCTCCCCCGTCCATCCCTCCTCGCAGAAACAGACGCCGTCCCCGTGCAGCCCTTCGTTGCACATCCCGTTCTCCGTGCACGTACACGCTGCCAGGCAACAGAACACACCTGAGAGCTGGGCCCCCGGGGAAGGGAGACAACACTGCAAGGGGGATTGGGCACATTGCTGTGGGAGGCCTCGCTTTTAGAATTGGGCCTGCGGAATTTTGCACAAGCAATTACCACAAGTGTGTGCACAATTGTAGCACTGCCGCCAGGGGCGCACTCTGCCTGCGCTGGTGCCCAAGGCCAACCCCCCCGGGCACTGACACTAATGAGGGACCAACTGACCTTCGTTTGGCCTCAGCTGGAAAGCTCCCTTCACCTCCCTGCTTTGGTGCCCTCTGGCAAATGCCCTTCACTTCCCTCTGCCTCCCCTCGGCTAGTGACACAGTCGCCCGGTCGGTGAATCCCACGTTTCAGAGCCCCCCACGTTTAATCCAAGCTTAGGGAAGGGGTCTAGGCTCATGCTTCCTCCCAGCCCTGCTCTTGTCCTCTTGGGCTGGCGCAGCAGGATACCGCTAGCCAGAGCCGGCAGGTTTGTATAGTTATGGGGGGTGCCCAGAGTGCGTCCAACTCCTGCCCCCCCATCTTTGCCTCGTAAGCATGGGGGGGGTTGAGGGCTCCGGGGTGATGAGGGGTCGGGATGTGAGAGGGGCTTTGGGCAGAAGGTTGGGTGCAGGCTCTAGGAGGCGGATGAGGGGGTGGGGCTAAGGCCCCATCATCCCTTCTCTCCTGCTCTCCCCTCACTCCCAGCAACACACACACACCCAGGGTCCACACAACTCGCCACCTACGCACCCACCAGTGTCACACCATAGCACCATACTCTGAACTGGCATTCGTGCTAAAATTCGACACTCTCCGCGGGGGGCTGAACAAAGACCCCAACTCCCTTACCCATTACAAAGATAGCTTCCCCAATTATCACCTCGAATACCATTAGCTCACAGACATCTACCTTTCCCCACCTCTAATATCATTAGCTCACAGACATTTACCTTCCTTCCTCCCCCCCCCCCACATCCCCCTTCTGTTCTGAAATGTGATTTGTCCTTTTCATATGTGTTTGCTTTTTTTAATTGTATCCTTTGGTATATATGGTTGTGACAATTTTCTTCCACTATTTGATCTGAGGAAGTGGGTCTGGCCCACGAAAGCTCATCATCTAATAAACCATCTTGTTAGTCTTTAAAGTGCTACATTGTCCTGCATTTTGTCACAGCACCATGACACGGTACTGACCCCAGAACAGGCTGTGGGGGGCCCAGTGTCTCGCGTCCCTCCCATTCACGTGGCAGCTCTGAGGAGAGGCCCGTTCACACCTCAGAGCACTGGCTTAACTCTCCCTTAACTGCCTCACGTGGGGCAGAGGCTGGAGCGCCGCTTACACCGACAGGCCTCAGCAGCCACCAGGTAGAAGACTGAAGCAAGTGTCCTGGAAAAACCCGACTTGGTGCGGCCTTGAACTGCCTCAAACATGCCTCAGCCCAGCCGCCTGCATCTCAGGAAAAATGGCCGCCCGTGCTATGGAGCTGGCTTGAGGACAGAGTTCTGTGGAGAGGGAGTAAAAGGGATGCGATTCCCCCTCGCAGTGGCGATAATCTGATGCTCTCAGAGACCATTCTGTGATTGGAATAAGGACAGTGCTGTGCATATTGTAACCACCCAGTGGCCGCAACGTGCCGTCCCCTTACAGCTAACCCCTCACACCGATTTCAGTGTCAAGTTCTGCTTACAATATTAAAACTGACAGCACAATATGAGCCCAGAGTTTCTGTGGCGTTTTCCCTACCCCTTCAATATTCCACCTGGAGCACCATAAGTTACAAACCAAACAGGCCTAATTGCCTGTCCAAACTGCTCCTCTAAAGCCAGGTGTGGTGCCCAAGCACGTCGAATGACCCAATCCTACCCTCGACAGTCCGGTCGGCAGATCACATGGACCAATACGCTGCACACCCCCCTCGCTGGCCTTTATCTGTTCATGCATCTGTACCTTGGCAGTCTGGCCCGTATCTGCCTGGCGCGCACAGTTCACAAGCAGTCCCAATGAACGCCTCGGTGCAGTTGCATCGTCCAGACCCACCGCTCCTGTCGCTGCAAGTGCCCCGGTTACTGCAGGGAGCCTCCAGCCCCCCTGGACAGACTGCAAACACAGAGCCTGAGTAAGTTATAAGCTCTCGCTATCAATGATAGCGGCTTTTTTGGGGCTATTGCACGTCCCTTAAATTGCATCAGTAAATCTATTATATATTTTAGAGAGTTTGTCGGTCTCTCCATCCGGTCAAGTACTCCTCCTAAACAGAAAAAGCTTGAGCCATGACATTTGTTATGCAGATTCCTCTTCTACCTGAAAGCAACGTAAGGGTTTGGGTGTTCCAGGAAAATGTGCCAGAAAACAGAATCACCAAATCAAGTGCAGTCCTCACAACTGACGTAACCGAGCGGATGTTGAAAGAGACTGAACCAAGAGGAGCCAGAAAAGGAGGAGGAATGTGGAATAGGGTTGCTCCACAGTAGGGATGTAATAGTATCCAGTATGGCTATGTCTACACTGGCATGATTTTCCAGAAATGCTTTTAATGGAAAAGTTTTCCGTGAAAAGCATTTTCGGAAAAGCACGTCTAGATTGGCACGGACACTTTTCCACAAAAGCACTTTTTGTGGAAAAGTGACCGTGGCCAATCTAGATGCGCTTTTCCGCCAAAAAGCCCCGATCGCCATTTTCGCGATCGGGGCTTTTTTGCGGAAAACAGTCCTGTGCTGTTTACACTAACCCTCTTGTGCAAACGATTTGCATAAGAGGGCTTTTGCCCGAATGGGAGCAGCACAGTATTTCCGCAAGACCACTGACAATCTTACATGAGATCGTCAGTGTTCTTGCAGAAATTCAAGGGGCCAGTGTAGACAGCTGGCAAGTTTTTCCGCAAAAGCAGATGATTTTGCGGAAAAACTTGCCAGTCTAGACACAGCCTATATGATTAACCGATTAACCATTCGGCAAAAGCTTATTGGTTAATGCTAGAGCGTACACACATTCCCCCTGCACCAGTACACGTTTTAGCAGGCTGGTCAGCATCCCGGCTCAGTCCCAGCTTATGCCAGGTCTGGGACTGGGACCTACCCATGCTGTGGCTGCGTTTAAAGTGTATTAAGGAGCCAGGGGGCAGGCAGCCCGGCTCAGTTCTGTTGTGCCAGGTCCAGGAGCTCAGACTACTCCTCACACCCCCCCAGACCGGGGCTGTATCAGAGGCAGCAACGTGGGGCAGCCTGTGAGCCTAGGCAAACTAGGCAGTTGCCTAGGGCACTGCCGGCCCGGGCGCCCTGTCATTACGTCACGGCCATTGGCGGCCGTGCAGGCAGGGGCGCCGATCGCACCTTCCACCTGGGGCACCAGCTGTCACAGCCAGCCTCGGACCACTCCTGGCAGCAGCATAGTGGCAGGGTTCCTCAGCAGTGAGGCTAGAGCGCACCGGCTGCTGGCCCCGCCCCCAAGGACTATCGAATAGTCGAGCAACTGCTAAGAATTCATGAGGTTACTCGACTATTCAATTAACCGATACTTAACATCCCTACTTCCCAGTAAACCGCACAGAACAGAGATAACACAAATGGGCAGCCGTGCATCAGGAAATAGCTTGCTATCAAGGAAAGAAACTAGTTTCAGTAGCACGGTGCGTCGGGAAACTCAGGAAGATGTTGCCATATTGGTCACCATAAGATTCCCTTCATCACCCTATGAGCTAGAGGAAAAAAAGCCTGAAGACACAGGAACAGCCTGACACAATGTGACAGTCACCAGCCTTCATGGGGACGCTGAAAAGGAGCCTTTCTGGGCAGGCCCCTCCATCTGGCCCAAGGAAGAGACCGTACTGTGACAGAGTCCTTCGTGCCGGGGCTCAGATGGGGTGAGTCCTTACCCTGACAGTCCCGTCCATAGTGGTTTTCACAGCACTCGGGGACCCACTCGATGGAGAGACAGGTCCTCCTGCACCCTTTTGTCAGGGACCTCCAAGAAGGCCAGCGTCTGCTGTGCTCAAACGGCGACGGGTACCAGTGACGTCGTCTCGATAACAGGTAATTGTGGTGTGAAAAATAAGAGAATCTGGAAAAAGGATTTGCTTCATAAAAGCAAGTCTGTCTTTTGCTCTGTGGGGGAAATGACAACAATAGGTCAAAACCCTCAATGCCCGGAGGTTTGTCCCACTTACCTCTTTCCCCACCCCGACTAAAGGGAGAAACGTCTCCGAGGGCATCCGTAAAATTGTTACCGTTAGAGTACAACTGAAAACCAATTCTCATACTGAAAAGAAGTACAACCCGTCGTCCTTTTTCGGTGCAATCATCTGACAAAGGGTGAGCAGGGATGAAGGCCAGAGAAGACGGGGCGGGGGGAAGGGGGCAATCCATGTCTGCGGAATTGCAGGCTGCCGATGGTCCGTGACAATGCATTTGGCTTGGATCAATGGTTCAGCCATTAAGTGAAAACTTGTTCCTCCTGGGATCGAGTGACTAGGCTGGCTGGAGCAGAGGGACAAGTCTCCACCTCAGTCCCCCTGTGCATCATGCAGACAGGAAAGGAGCCTCCTGCAGGTGTCAGTGAGCATGAGGCCAAACAGCCTGAACTAAACATCGCGGGGCCCAGTTCAATCCCCAGTGATGACTGAAACAACAGTTGTTCTGTGCACTGCATGAGGCTTGCCTCTCCACACAAGAGGTGCACAGGTCCCGCTTTCTGGGAAAATTCTTAGAGACAGCATCCCAAGCAGCAAGGATCTGGGCTTTGGGGTTAAGCTCAGCACCCAAGTTGGATCCTGAGAAGGACAAATTGCTCTTTCATTTCTAAGCCAGGGTTTGAACTGCTCAGCCGGCCACCCAAGAGCCACTGCTGTTTGGACCCAGCACTCCCGGCTGATGCCAAAGCAGCTCAGCCACCGCTGGAGAAGAGACACAGCCGGCACATCCAGTGTCCACGGGGATACTTGGGAGGGAACGTACAGCAGTGTCAGCATGTGGCCTCCGCACCCCTAGCAACCGAGCACTGCGAGGGAGGGAACGAGCCCACATTGCACGAGGGGATTCAGGGGCCTGACTCAACCGGGTATTGGCCACAGGTCCATGCTGCTGGCTGGGGACAGCCCTCTGGGCCAAGGAGGGGCTCGGGACCTCTCCCCACCTCCCGCTGGCTAACGGAGTCCATGCTGGGGAGACACGAATGAGCTGCAGGCGCTGCGGGGGGGCCCAGGCTGTTCCACCGATCCAATGGGACAGGGAGGCTCAAAGCCACAGGTCCCGCAGCTCTCCTCTGAAACCTGAGCAGGGAAGAGAACGCACACACGTCTCACTGTCCCTGTCCCAGGCCTGCCAGCGAGCCGAGGTGAGGGGTGAGCCCCCCATGCCTGATGTCCAAGCTGCAGTGCCTGGACGCAGCCTGCACGCCCAGCTGGCGCTTTGTTACCTACCAACGCCGACGCACTCACCTTCAGCTCCTTGGAGAGGAACTCGTCACAGCGGGACCCCAGGTTCGGGGGCTCCAAGAGCTGGTCAATGCCATAGGCGATGCCCCCGTCAAACTCCATGTGCCGCTGCACAATCTTGGCGTTGCCGTTGTCCACCAAGAGCTCCCCCTGTGAGGGAGAGGCAAGACGGAGGCGCTCAGGGCTCGCGCACCTGCCAGGCCTTCCTCACGAGAAGCAAGGCAGCTCCCAGCCCGTACAAAGTCCAGGCAGGCAAGGCTGTCTGGGGGGACCCGAACTGGGTGCCATTGATTCCCTGTCGTGGGCAGGCTGCTCCTTCACCAGGCTATTACATCCCTGTCCCGGCTGACCCCCTACTCGGGCCTGGCAAGGAGCCCTGTCTGAGGCACACACAAGATGGACACCTTGCTTGGCCACGCTGCCCTTTTCCATGGGGCCTCTGCAAATCCACACTGGGGCTTGGGTTCGGAGAGCCTGGCTCAGGCCTCTGTGTCCTCTGTGTCATTTGTCCTAGACGATTAAGTCCCCAGCCCTCCATGCACATGCTCTGTCCTGAGCGTTCGGTCCCGTGATGAAAATGGCCATTTTTTTTTGCACCGTTTCCATTTTGACAAAAAAGCAGCTAGCTGTGATCTGAGCACATCGGGGGAGGGAGAATTCCTCATTCCCTTTGGGAGTTGGTTGCCGTGATTAATTATCCTGGCTATTAAACAAAAAATTGCCTTATATCTAATGTAAATACGACTGGCCTCAGCATCCTGCCGCTGGCTCTTGTTATGCCCGTCTCCACAAGATTCTAACCTCTTTAGCGCTCAGGATGTTCTCCCTATGGACACTGCTATCTGCTGCAATCCAGTCACCTCTAAGACAGCTTGGGTGTAAGCTAAACAGATCACTTTTTAGGTCTCCCCTAGTTTCTCCAACTCTTGATCATTTTTGGGGCTCTTCTCTGAGCCCCAATTTTTCAACACACTGTACAAAATATGGACCCCAGATCTGGGTGTAATAGGCCAGCATCAGTCCTGCCAACGCCAAATACGGACAATAAATCCTCTCTCTCTTTTAGCTGGCTTGCTGCCCTGTTTATAAAGCACAGCATCATAGCAGCTCACGCTGGGAACCCATGTTGAGTTTTTGTCCATTATAATCCAACGGAGTCACTGCTTTCAATGGTACAATTCCTCATTCTATAGGAATACCTGGCATTCCTTATCCTAGGTTTATGATCTTAACATGCCTTTTAATACAGCCAAATGTATTTGAATGGGCCCAAACTTACTAAATGATCCAGATTACTTGGTATATGACTACGTCCTCAACACTATTTACCATCCCACTGTACCAGCTGCAAGTTTTATCAGCAGTGGTTTTATATTTGCTTTATTGATGAAAACATTGAGTAGCATCAGGGCTACTCTGACCCATGATGAATTCTACTACAAACACCACATTTAACACTACTTGATGATGTGTCTGCCAGCAGTTCTCCATCCATTTAACAAGCACTTTACTGATGTTACAGAGCACTTACTTCTTACTCACAATATTGTGCAGTACTAAGTCCAATATTTTACACAGGCCTACGTGTGTTACATCTACACAGTTCTCTATCAACTAGCTCTGTGATCTCAAACACCACAATCAGGGTTTTTTGGTTGCTTTTTTTAAAATAAGAACTATTTTACAAGTAGTCATGGTGTCAGGACTAACTAGATCCCCATCCATTAATTTTTTTTAAATTGAATCCTACATCAGCTTTTCCATTATTTTCCCTGGGATTGATGTCAGGTTAACAGGTCTGCAATTACTGGGGTTATCCTGCTGGCCCTTTTTGAATATTGGCAAAGCATTAGCATTCCAACAATCTTCTGTAATGTTCTAGATATTTCAAGATTCATAAAAAATGTTCATCACTGAGTCAGACATCTCCACAGCCAAGTCTTTTAGTATGCTTGGGCACAAGTTATCCCAGCCTGCTAGTTTAGAATTCTTTTTTCCAAATGCTATTTGACATTCTCCTTAGATCATGATAGACTCAACAGGACTTCATCCTCATATGATAGGAATAAATTATTCTGCTTCTTTCAAATTACAGAAGAGAAGTCTTAATTGAAAACTAGTTGCTTTTTCTGAGCCATTAACAATTTTACCTACCCTATTCAGTAAACTGCCTAGGCTATTGTTAGAATTTCTTTTACTCCTAAAATACTTAAACTCCTCCTCATTGTCCTTGGCTCCAAGGATTTTTCTTTGATATCTTTAGCTTCCCCTATCAATGTTCTATACTTCAAAACTTCTAATTTATACTAATTGTTATCTAAGTCCCCTTTGCCCATTTGTTACATCATTTTTTAAAAACGTCTAATGGCTGTCTTCACTTCCCCACTGCCCCAAGATGTGCTTCCAACCAAAGTAGTCCTCTTTCCTGATTGAGCAATTGTGGCTTTTTGGCCCTCTCTTTTAAAGAACTTCCTATTTTCATTTACATTTTTCTAAGTTTTTCCTCCAAATCAATTTAGCTTATTATTACCTGCTCTGTACAATACAACATTAATTCTCTGGGGTGTTTGAAACATCCGCTTAATAAAAATATCCCTCCAGCTACCCTAGGTGCAATGCAATTGCTGGAATGCACATACACATTGTACACATTGTACACATTGTGCTTACTTTCCATTCAGTTACAACCCACATAAATGTCTTAGTACTTACTTTCCATTCAGTTACAACCCACATAAATGTCCGTGTGAGTCTTTGCTCCATCTAGTGGCCTAGCTAGGTAAAGAGGTTTATACATACGCTGCTGTCTTCCAGTCAGAAGAACTGATTCGTTAGATTAGGCAAATGACATTCATGCTTTTAGGGATGAAGAGTACCAAGCTCAGTTCTTGAAGGTGCTCCCTTCACAACTCCACTGTGTCTAGACCTCATTTGTTTTAAAAATAAAACCAAGAAACGGTTACTTACAACACTGTTCTTGCTGCAGCTGAATGAGATGGTAGATCCATGCATGGTCCTTACAGGAGCAATGTGTGGCAGGTTACCAGCTACAACCTGAAGAAACATGCAAGTAACATAAGGGAGGCGGTCAGGCCAACTGAATATCTAGGTGGGCGTCAGAAAAGATTTCCCTTTGAAAACACAACTCTAGCCCCTGCCCTGACTACAGCTTGATGGACACACAAGTCAATATTAATAATAATATTAATAATAATAATAATAATAATCCCTAGCTCTTATGCCTGATGGCAATCAGCATCTCTCACATACTTTACAACGGACATTAGCCTGATTCCCGCCTTACAGATGGGGAAACTGAGGCAGAGATGTGACTTCATTTGCCCCAGTTCGCCCAGCAGGTGATCGGTCCAGTGCAGAGCTGGGAACAGATTGCAGCTCCTCAGGAGGCCCAGACCCATGTGAGAGCCATTTTTGAAACAGAAGGGGTTTTTTTGGATGAAACAGGCGTTTCCCCAACCACTTGACAGATGTCTATATAGTAGCCAATAGGAAATAAGGTCACTCACTCATTGGGAGGAACTGAATTCGGCACCTTCCGAGTGAAAATGTGTGCAAGAAACCCTCCCCCTCAACTGCACTTCATTGGCTCAGACCTGGTATGACCTCTCTGAACTGCCTTTGAGCCGGGAATTAACCATTGGGCCATTGGCATGTTTGGCAGGAGCTCCTTCTAGGGACTCCTGAGGGGGCTAACAGTCCCTCCCACCCCCCACGCCCAGGAGTGGTAATGTACCTGTGACCATGATAAGTACTTGACGGATTTAACAAGAAATTCGGGTGGGTGGAGCCTTTTACCTTCATGTCCCTAATCATGTGCACTTTGAGATAGGCTGCCAGCTTGTCTCGGTGGTCCCTACTATACAACCACATCTGCATCTTCTCAGGCAGGGCGGTAAACGTCGCATCCGTAGGCCACAGCATGGTGAAGGGCCGGTGAGCAACGGTGTTAATCAGAGGTAACAGTCCTGCTTCCTGTCCAGAGACACAAGACGACATGGATATAACACATACATTCTGTGCCTGCACGAGCGCGCCACACCACACAGCACGAGACAGCCCGTTGAGAAGAGAAGTCACACCGCTTACCCTCAGGAGTCTGCTGTAGTTCTTGTAGCCGTACGCTTCGGCTACCTCTGTGATGTTTTGCTAGAAAAATAATTAAAATTACACAAGCCAGTTACAAAATGGGAGAGTTTGTTTTCCTCACTAGAATTCCTAATAGAGGAGCTAACTCCATCAATTCTCAGAGCCAAGAGTTTGCACTCGCTGACTCTGTAGGGCTAGGACAGTCTGATGGAACAAGGTGGCTGTTAACTTCCGCCCTGGAGCAGTGATGTAAATAGCCCAGGGTCTGAGTAGCTATTTTTCCCACGTGTGCAGACAGGTCAATATGAAGTCCCAGAATGGTGGACGAAGAGTTACTAGAGTGATACAGAAAAAGTGTCCCCACAAGTGTGACAGCAAACACTACACGCAGATCCCTACAGATGGGCAAAGCTGGCTGAACAAAACAGGAGGGCAACCAAAATGATGAGGGGGCTGGAGCACATGACCTATGAGGAAAGAATGAGGGATTTGGGCTTACTTAGTCTACACAAGAGAAAAGTGAGGGGGGATTTGGTGGCAGCCTTCAACTCCCTGAAGGAGGGTTCCAAAGAGGATGGAGAGAGGCTGTTCTCAGTGGGGACAGATGGCAGAACAAAGAGTTACAGTGGGGGAGGTCTAGGTTTCCCTAGGAGGGTGGGGAAGCACTGGAATGGGTTACCGAGAGGGGATGGACTCTCCATTCCTAAAGGTTTTTAAGCCCTGGCTAGGATGATTTAGCTGGGATCAGTCCTGCTTTGGGCAGGGGGCTGGATTTGATGACCTCCTGAGCCTTTTCCATCCTTATGATTCCAGTGGCCCTGCGCCAGGCATGAATTTGCTCCAATGGGTGTTAGAGTTTGGTAACGAAGAGGCTGCTCTGCCAACCAGGCAGACAGTACAGGGAGCTGGATGTTTACAACCTGCAATGTTGGACGTGAAGGCCATTCTGAGTATGAAAGGGAGGCTTTGGTTAGCCTGCTCTGAGTCTGACCACATGACTTTTCCCCAGTGATGTAAAAGGCGTATTCTGAGCTCCCCTTTACTGGTCAGCAAGGACAGATTCTAGCTTCCTCACCCCTACAACACACAGGCACCATGAGAACAGCTGGCTCCACACTTGAACCTCTTGCTGCTTAACCTACACTATGTGCTGCTGGTAAATGGATTCCTAGAGCACAGAAACCTGGCGCCCAAGAAATATGCGGCTGTGTTACTCATTGGCCACAGCAGCTTTCATTCTGGGGTGGGGTGACCATCACTCATTAAAATGCTGTCGTTTCGGACATACCTGCGCCAGCTGGGAAGAAACGTTCTGGCTCAGCAAATCAGCTGGGATTAAAATCCTGTCGATGACATGGATCACCCCATTCATGCCAACAATGTCGCTGGTGAGGATGGTGGCCTCCTCGTTGAGATGCACTCTATTCTGCGGAAGAAGGGACACCGCGCAGTGAAGCCAGATTTCCAGTTAGACGGGCCCGTGCCATGGTTCATCAGCAGAGCGCTTTAGGTTCCCTTGAAAGAGGCTACCCCTTAGCTGTCCCCGCTCAGACAAAGGCTAAGGAAAGGACAAAGCAACTGGAGGGTCTGTCAAGAGGGGGCAATGCTCAGGGCCAAAGAAACACAGAGGGGGAATGAATCCCGGCTGACAACTACCTGCTTCACCCCAATCCTTATTTTGTGGCCCGACAAAGCCGTGATGGATTCGTGCGCCTCCAGCTCGCTGGCCAGCAGTTTCTGGCAACTCACTACGTGATAGCGAAGCAAATCTTTGATAAGGCTTTTGTTGGTCCATTCTGCGAACTAAAGGGAGGAAATTGGTATGTGAGAGATTATCATGTCAGGATAGTTCTGGCAATGAAAGCCAAGAGCATCAGATTAATGTAACCGAAGACCCAAATGACAGGGAATAGGATGAGAAGTTTGTTCTACCCACCCCGAACCATCATTCCTTGCTGAAATGAAGTCCCAATCCAATACATGCAAGATGGTAACCTGTTGCTGAATCACGGGGTTATAGCCCAGAGAGGCTCCAAGTGACGTCAGATGATGGGAATGAAAGGAGAGTTCAGATCATTGGCTCAAGGAGAAAAGTAACCCAAACCGCCAGCCCACCCTGGCAAAGCAACTTCCGCCCACCCTGGCCTACTTTGGGGAGGTCCCAATCTGGGTTTTGCATAGGTCCCTTTCTCTCTAACAGGCTAGAACAACCCCTCACATACGGACACCCCGACCTTTGCAATTATTCGTTTCTGGCCTTTGAGGTATGTGGACAGGATCCTGTGTCCACCGCACGACAGCGCAGCAGAAAGCAAATTCAACATAACGCAAAACCAAGCCCACCCAACAAAACAAGCCAACTGAGGGGTTTATGGAAAGAAATAGAAAAACAAAGAATAGCCTGGGATATTCAATTCCATTTATTTTCCTGTGTCCCTACATTTTTGCAGTTCTGGAGACCCATGCATTAGCAATGCAGAAGAGCACAGTATTGTTGTCTGGGGTTGTGGCAAAGAGGGAAGTTTTGGCAACTGCTGGCCATTTGATTGATTGTTTGGTTTCAGAATCAACACTCCTTAAAACACAAAAGTTCTTCCCCTCACAGCTAGTCCTCCATGCAGTCTACAGATCCAAGTAGACCCCAGCGTCTCTGTTTATACATTTTTAAAGGCTTTCTTGGTAACCACAAAAACTAGGCAATTTTTCAATGAACGGTTGAGTTCTGGAACACAAAAGTCAAGTAAAGGGCAGATTCCTCTACCTCAGAACTGGGATATGGGTAACTCTAAAGCATTGTTTCTTAAACTTTTTAAGACCGAGGAACACCAAATAATAATTTTTTTTTTTAATTGAGGAACAACAAGGATTTTTTGTTCAGGAAAAAAAAAAAAAAGGTCAGGGGCAAAGTTATTGAGCCAAAAAAAAAAGGGGGAGGTTCGACTGTCCCTTTAAGGGTGGCCATTTTGATTTCTGTTGTTCTCCGTGGCACACCTCCGCCTGCCTCATGGCTCACCGGTGCGACGGAACACAGTTTAAGAAACACTGCTCGAAAGCTAATGGGACTGACACCAGAACAGGAGAGAATTCTGGCTGGCAGGCAAGAAGATTTGTGCACCTCCTAGCAAAGGGTTTTGTTATATCAAAGGCCACATGACAAGTACGCTGTTGGCTGGAACAGGAGCAGAGACTACGGGAGAACCCAATGAGCACCTCAGGATTTGAATACAGTTAAAACTTGCGGTGGTTTTGACCCCTCAAGTCAGTTGACTAGAACCCAAGGAAATAGATGTTTGAGAGGAAACTCTCACAGAATGACTTGACGGACAAGCCAGGGAACTCCCAGTGGGGCGGCTTACCGTGGTACTGTTCTGTATCCAATCTGCATGTGGAGCAAAGACGGTAAAGGGCCCTTTTCCACTTAACTCCTTGATTTTGAAGGCCTAGCGCACGGCACAAGCACCAGGAGCAAAACCCAAGCAAAACAAAAACCAAACAATTCTCATTAGCCGGAGCCTTTCACACACACACCTGGCAATTTTTATACTTTTCAACAATAATGACTGTTTGCCACCAACCAGTAACTGCTTAAAGAACAGGGACGTTGCTTTGCTTCTCAGGAGCTCCTAAAATAAATCAGAACAGCTCGTGTTAATGGCGAGTCTCTATTATTTAAGCTTAATACCAATGTGGACACAAGAACAAATGGATATAAACTGGCTAGTAGGAAGTTTAGACATGACATTAGACGAAGGTTTCTAAAAATTAGAGGAGTGAAGTTCTGGAACAGCCTTCCAAGGGAAGTAGTGGGGGCAAAAGATCTATCTTGCTTCAAGATTAAACTAGATGGGTTTATGAAGGGGATGGTTTGATGAAATAATGAATGGTCAATTAGTTACCAAGATCATGTTATCAGTGGGAAATAGGTCAATGGAGGGATGATAGGAGTTACTATAGAGAACTTTCTGGGTGTCTGGCTCGTGAGTCTTGCCCACATGCTCAGGGTTTAGCTGATCGCCATATTTGGGGTTGGGAAGGAATTTTCCTCCAGGGTAGATTGGCAGAGGCCCTGGAGGTTTTTCGCCTTCCTCTGTAGCATGGGGCACAGATCACAGCTGGAGGATTCTCTGTATCTTGGGGTCTTCAAACTATTTGAAGGCTTCAATATCTGAGATATAGTCAAGAGGATTATTCTAGGAGGGGTGGGTGAGATTCCATGGCCTGCACTGTGCAGGGGGTCAGACTAGATGATCATAATGGTCCCTTCTGACCTTAAAGTCTTTGAGTCTATTGAAATCGGGTTTTGAGGCAGAGAAAATCCTTCCCACCGGTTCATCGCACAGATTTTGCCACTGACCTCTGGGGGCTCTTCCCACCCCAGACACACTCAGGCCCTTTGACTGCACTAAGCTTGTTTGCCTAATATCGCTCACCTGTGTTCCAGCCAGAGGTTTGAGTGGGATCAGACAACACAGTGGTTCAAATGCTGGTAGACAACCTGCCCTCTCTGCTGCTACCACCTATCCTTAGTAGCAAGGGTGGGAAAGGTTTGGGGGAAAGCCTCACGTAGCCCCACAGGAGTTAACTCGGGGATTTTACCTGGCCCAGCATTTGGGCCACCTCTTTTCATCCAAGATTGCTCATGGGCAACCAGGACCCCCACTCTGTCTTGGCCTGTTTGCGCCAGCCACTCAGATCCCTTCAGCTGTGGCCAGAAAGTGGCCACAAGCGGTGACCAGGGCACACTGTCCCATCATAACAACTGTCATTCATACTGGGAGTTAACATGGCACATGCAGAAAGACTCCTCTGAGACGGATTGGTTCAGAGACTTGTCCAATGTCACACAAATGAGTCGGGCCCACCTGACATCCCGGCTGGTGACTAGAGGTCTCTTCTGAAAAGCCCGCTCTGTCCCCTGAATACACTGGCGCTGGAAGTCACACCCAAGCGCCACAGTCACAGAGACCTTTCAGAGAGCAGCTGAGTTTTGTTGCTGTCCTCCTGGGCACGGTTCCTCTTGCTTCAGCTCTCCCCTGGCTAATATCCCAAGGGACTCCTGGCCAGGATCCAGTGGATTTCTAGGGCCTGTCACACATTTCCCAATCCCTCAGCTGAATTGCCAAATGTTTCAAGGTCACAAGAGTTCAGCATCCTGCGTATTTCCTGGGGTGCTGCTTCAGAAATAGCTCCCCCTAACAGCAGCCCATTCAGACACAGGCCTAGCTGAAGACCCTTCACCTACCTGGTACACACTGCCTCTGCAGGTGAATCCATCTCCAATATGGTCCCACGTACAGGAGCAGTTTCGAGTCCCAGGTCCGGTGTACTCGCACTTACCAAATGGACTACAGCCGCCGTAATTCTGGGAGGAAAAGTAAGAGCATTCCAATTAGTGCACAGCTGTAACTCAGAAACGGTATCTACCAGCTAGCAGTGGAATTCCCATTTCTTCATGCCAGCACCTAGTTCAAGGCAACCTCCGACACTGTGTTTTGCCCCCTCGTCCTACGCACACCTGTTGAAATGCAGTATTTTATAAGTCTTTCTTCAGCCTCGCTGGCAAACAGTGCTCCGAGACAGATACCCACACGGGGCCCAGCCAAGGAGAAACCATTTGGATAAGACAAACTGAAAGATGGAGTCATGAAGACAATGGTTTACAGTGGCTTTTCCAGCTGAAGTTAAGGAATGAAATAGCAGGTATTTGTTTTAAACTTGATACATGGGGCGGCTTAGTCATCTGAAAACTAGACTTGGAAGGTCTAGGCAGCTTGAAACGAGGGCTGTCAAGTGATTAAAAAAAATTGTGCGCACCTCCCCTTTGAAATGCCGCCATGGAGTCCCCAGCTGAGCCCGGGCTCCATGCAGTGCTGCCCCTTTGAAGCGCCACGGTGGCACATCAAAGGGGAAGTGCAGCACGGAGCCCAGGATCAGCTGGCATGCCTAGCTGATCCTCCTGGCCTCCATGTTGCACTGCCCCTTGGAAATGGCTTCTTTCCCAGTCTGCTCTGAAATCACGTTCCATGTGCTTTCTGGACCTTAACTTACCCATCCCTTGGGTTTGATTTTGTTAGGAAAAAAAAAAAAGTTCAATTGAAACTTTCTACTGAGGTTTGGCAGTGTCTAGAAGTCCTCTCTCAGGGCTGCTCAGCCCACACACTAGATCACATGTCCCCAGTCCCTTTCTGACTTTCCTTACATGTGGACCAGTCATTCAGCAAAAGCTCATTTAAACACTCTTCCAGAAGGATCAAACCCTGGGTAGAGTGTGTCCGCCAAAAACTGCCAGCCTATTCCAGAGGAGTAGAGCAGAACCAGTTGAACACGAAAAAGGCAAGTGTCTCCATTAATGTGTCTTAAACTGGACACAGAATCCCACCTCCTGGAGTAAAAGAGGAGCTCACTCTGTGTGTTAAACTGCCAATCAGAGTGTTGGTTTCATGCGTGTTGCAATGTTTGTTTTTCTCTGGACCATGGAAACTAACTGAAACAAGACGGTGGAAACGTTACCAACTATTTCCACTGGCCAAGCAGCTTGTCCAGTGGAAAGGAAGCCATGAATCAGTGACGGGCAGTAGGTCATTCGTGTGCATGTGAAATGCATAACAAGTTTGCTCATTCAGAACTACTGCATGCGGGGAGCTGGGGAACTCTGAATAACTCTTCCTATTAATGGTTTGCATGGAGGGATGCTTAACGGTTTAGTCTAGAACTGGGGAACCTACAGCCCAGGGGTCAGATCTGACCCCTGCTTGCCTGGATCCAGCCCTCGAGGTTCAGGCCTCTCCCTGCAGTGGAGAGCTCACGCTGGAGCTCCAGTCCTGCGGCCACCCTGCGACCCTTCACCCGCAGGGCTGGAGAGCCAATGCCAGCTCTCCACTGTGTATGTGGGAGGGGGGGAAGGGGCGGGGGGAGAGAGCCTTGAGCCTCACAGGCTGGGGGGGGGCCACAGGCTCTACCGGTCCCCCTCTTCATCCCTCTTACTCCGGCTGGGGAAACGGCAGCGCCGCAATGCACTGCCTGCAGGTTTTCCTCAACCACTCTGATTGGCTGGAAATTC